GGTTCAGAGATGCTGCTGCTCGTGTCATTTATCAGACAGAGCTTCCAGAGGAGGTGAAACTGCAGATCAGAGCACAGGGAGGTGATGAGGAGGAGATAAAGAGGAGTCACAGTCAGTTGGTTTCACTCCTCCTCCTTCATGCTGCATCATGTCTTTACATGAACACAGGCTGAGTGTGTGTGTGTGTAGCAATAACCACTCACAATGGAGCATAGCGTCACACACCAACACAAGACACTCTTTGTGTGTGCGTGTGTGCGTGTGTGTGCGTGTGTGTGTGTGTGCGCGTGTGTGTGTGTGTGTGTGTGTGTGTGTGTGTGTGTGTGTGTGTGTGTGAGAGAGTGGGATACATCATCGACTACATCATCGCTTGTCAGCATTTTAAACGTTTGCCACAGAAGAAGAAAAGGAGGATGAGGAGTGTGCAGTGAAGAGCCTCAGGGTGGATTTATTATTGCTGTGATACAGACGTGTGAGATTGTTGTGTAGATAATAAACACCAAGATTTGTGACTTTTTTACTGTTGTTGCGAGGACACAAAGAAGGAGCCGCCGCCGGGCTGCTGTGATGACCTCGGCCTGTTGGACGCTCTGCACCAATAACAGGATCCAACGTTACCAAACAAACATCTGCTCGCGCTGCCACATGAACCGTGTTAAAGCTACACTCAGGCTGCAGACACTTTTTTGCCTCTTGGAGCTGATGATGTCACAGAGAGAGGATGTCCCTCAGACACCCGAGTAAAAGCCAAAGAACCGAGCTGTTAGCCCAGGACAGAGTGACATCATCGGCCTCGTGAAGCCTGGGCGTCTGTCCAACATGGCCGCTGGTTTTCTGCCCCGCCTGGAGCACCAGACCGGCGACCCTTCAGGGTAACAGGCTGAGGCGGGACAGACCAGGCCATCACGTCAGGATGAGCGTGCGTAGGTATTTCTACAGGTGACACGGCGACCATCGTGAACAGCACGCAGTAACACGAACCAGCAGAAGATGCGCTTCTTTGATGTGCCCGCTCGCGCTCAGAGTTTGTAAAGCGCTGAACTCTCAGCCACTCAGTCGAACGTCAGCAGCACAACAACAGATGATGGATCCATCGGGCAGCTGCAGGAATCAGACCCACAGAGGAAAGTTTTCAGCACCGCAGCTCCCGCTTTCATGTTTGACTGACCCTCCCCGCCTCCCTCCCAGCGTTACATCTCCATCTGAAAAACACCGCCGCCTCTGCTGCTGCCGCTGCTCCGTGAAGCTGGGAGGTAACATTTCCCCCTCAGCAAGAAGAGCCAGTCCGTGAGAGAAACAGAGAGAGATCAGCGCCTGTCGCCGAGGCCCAGCTCGGCCTCAGTGTTGAATTTCGTAATGGAATGCTAACTGCTCATCCGGATCCTTCCTCCTCCTCACAGCAGAGGAGGAGAGGAGGACCAAACGCAGCGGGAATATTCGGCTCTTCGTTGCAGGAAAGCTTCCACTCGTTACACATGATCTACCACGAAGCTGCCGTCAGCTCAGCACCGACGATCCACCATAAAAGATGTCCATAAACTAGGTCAAAGTCTGTTTGAACTCGTGCATCGATCACAGATCCAAACAGCCTCTGCTGACACCTACAAATGCATTATACACATGTGTGCAAGAAACCCAACAGATGCACTAAAGTGACCCCACAGGGGCAAAAGCTGCCATAAAACACAATAAATGTACAACACACACGTCTGACTCGCACAAATATGATTCTTCCTGCAGCGCGGGGCTGACAGATGTTTCCATGAAAGAGTCAAAAGCAATTAAAACAAAAACTTTAAATGAAGCTACAGTGAGAAACTGCAGAAAATAATGCTCCAAATCTCCACTCTTCAGCAGATCGAACACAGTTTAAGAGCATTTCAGGAACATCACAGGGTTTAAAAACTCCACAAACACTCTGTGGAAGTGTGAGCATGTGGGGAACAAATGCATTTCTATAGATAAAACAAAGAGAAATTTAACTTTCTGCAAAAAATTTGGAAAAACCAAACCGATTGTGGGTAAAAGTGTTACAAAATCACCATAATTTCCTTTTAGAGAGCTACCAGAGCACTAAAGATTGTAATTATAGAAGTAAAGTCACAATCATCTTGCCAAAACTCAGTAATAGTTACTGCTTGACAAATATGGAAACAGAGCATCGCTAACTGCCATTGAAAGAAGCCAAAGTCACTAATGAAACCCATAAATCCACTTTAAAGTGCGTCTGTGTAAGCGGAGCTGAGCTGCAGCAACAAACAGACGTTACAGGAGTGCGTTAGACAGCAAAATGTTTGAAGAAAAGTGACAAAATGAAGCAGTGATACCCGCGTGGAGATCGCTAACATTAGCCAAACACGCTACCGGTCAATCCAGACTACATGAAGGGAGGGGGGGCTAAAAGTTAGCTTGAAAGTCCTCCAGGAAGTGATAAGGTCACCAAAGACTCGCTGTTCCTCAATTTAAGATGGATTTGTTTAAAAAATTAAAGAAAACTGCAGCTGAGAAAGACTATGGAAGAAAAAAATAGCTAAACTTGCAGCAAAGCCCACAGGAGCACCCATAAACCCACTTTAAGTGAATCATGGCCTTAATTACCGATGATGGGATTATGTTAAAGCCAAAACATACTAACAAAAGTCAATAAATAGGTTCAAGTAAAGTGGGACACCACCCAAATTCCCCTGAGGATGCTGAACTAAAGAAGGACGTATTTCTTATTAATCACTCACAAGTTACGACACATTGCCAAAAAGTCTGTACTGTTTAAGTAATTAGAGTAAAAGCACGTTTTGTATTCTTACGAAACTTTGTAAAAAGCACTGAAAGTTAGCCATCTTAGCCACACTGCGCCGACAGCAGTCATAGGCTGAGCTAAACACTAGCAGATGCACACAAACGCCAACAAAATGAGCTCAAATCAACTTTTTCTTCTATAACTTAACAATTTACACCCAACACTGAACCATAAAATGGGTCCATTTTATTCAGTGTAATTGGAGAAAACGTTAAACAGAAGGGAAATTAAAAGGATTTATTCTCCAGAAACTAAAGTACCAAAAACAAGCCCACTCACATGAATATAAACCCACTTTAAAGCGACTTTATTCAACTTTTAATGAACTGTGGACACAAATAACTACTGTTGGACTGTGCTCCAAAACATACAAGCCAAAACTATTTAAAGGGAGTAAAAGTTTAAAAAAGTCACCACAGAGTCGCTGTACTTAATGTAATTAGAGTAAAAGTCCATTTATTGTGTATAAAAGTGTGTTGTATCTGAGAGCCGCGATGGCCTCTGTGCTTTAAACAATGACAGACTCCTCTTACAGTGAGGTTAAAGTTCCTCAGCAGGGAGGTGCAGAGGTAGAGAGACACTGGGCCAACATGGAGAGAGAGAGAGAAAATCCCTAGCAACCATTATCTAACCAATCCAGCCTGAGACCGAGAAAAACGCCATCGGTCCATCTCCTCTCCCTCCTCGAACTCCGCGGCCATCAATCATTGACCCGGACACCGATAACAGCGCCTCTTTCACACAGTAAAACCGCGTTATGGGAGTTATTTAACAGCCCGGCCAGCATCCTCCGTCGTGTACCAACGCGGAAAAAAGGAAAAAAAAAAAAAAAACACGACGACGAGGCTAACGGCTAACAGCGCCGCGAAAAAGTTCTCCAAGTCGACGGTTTGGGGCGGGGGGCGGTTGAAACCGGGGGGGGCGCCCGGTGGTTACCGTTTAAAATGGAAGTTAGAACCGAGGACGATGTCGAAAGACAGAAAAGACGGAGCTCGAGGACGGGGGAGGAGGAGGAGGAGAAGGTGGATGCAACAGGCGTCACGTCGATGCTGCTGCTGCGCGTAACCACAGACGGTGGAAAAGTGTCGGGAACGCGGCGAAAAGTCGCCCAACTGCCGCAAAAACTGGCGCAGGCGGAGCGGGACGGCGGGTTCGGCCGCCTCGCCGCCGTGTTGGGCCGGTTCGTGAATGAACGGGGGTCCCTTTCTGCCTAAATATGTCTGGGCAAGGTCATCGCGCTGGCGTCGAGCTCGCTGCCATTAGCGGAAGTCGAGCCACCAAAATAAAAGCTATATTTTCTTTTATTGAGCCTACAGATTTAAACCCACATCCACACGTTTGCGGATGTGTGTACATTATACTAAATAAAGGAGGCTTTTGTGACTTCTTTCGCACATAAAAGAGTTAAATATAGAAGCAATGTGATGTGATTTTCACAATAAAATGAACAACTTTACCATTTAACCTGCTTTAGATGTATTTGCACCTATCAGACCTCCACAAGCACGTAAAGAGCACGTAGAGCCGCGCGGCACGGTGAGAAAACCATCATTTACAAAGAGAAGCATCAGCAAACTCAGTTAAAACTATTAGCTTCAAAGATGAAGTCTGAGTCGCTTTCAGGCCAGAGCGCTTTCTAACACAAAACGCGAGGTAACCCCTACGGTCCTCCGTGTGCAACAGGTTGTTTTACTTTGAAGAAGTCTCTCTGAGGAAGTACTCCGTCGGTTGCCGTTCGCTTGAGCGCTTAGTTTTACACATGGCCACTAGCCCCGAGGCTTCGACCAAAGTGCATCCGAGATATGGATGCTAGACTCCGGCTGCGAGCTGCAGACTTTGACCTCCCCCCCACCTCCTAACACCCTCCCCGCGAGGCAAAAACCGCCGAATAACTGCCCTAAACGTGCACACGGGGCGATAAAGTTGCACCAAAAGTCGAAAAACAACAAGTTGCTGAATGAGGAAGAGACACACACACGGCTGAATTCCACCGCTTGGATGCGCATCAAACTAGGAAGCAGCCCAGAGAGGAGAGAAAAGTAGTAACGCCACCCTTACCGTCTCCACATCTCCGCTCAAACTTCACCCCTGGCAGCACAAACAGGCGCAAAGTTCTCCCCGAGAGGCGCAAACAGCGCGGGGAGCCTGCGCAGACATTCGCACAGCACCAAAACTCAGCGATGGAGACGAAAAGGACACTTACGCTTCACTTTGTTGGGGTTGGGCTGCTTGCGCCGAGACATCGTGGCGAGGATGATGGTGGTGGTGGTGATGGATGGGGGGGCTGATGATGATGATGGTAGATGAACGGCGGTGATCGGGGATGATGAAGGTGATGAAAAAAAAAGAAAGGGTGCGAGAGGCAGCAAAGTTGCTCCGCAGAGGAGAGAACTCAAAATGGCGTATTCCGAATGGATGAGCAAACTTGGACAAACTTTACTCCGGCTTCTCCTCCTCCTCCTTTTCTCCCCTCCCCTCCCCTCCTCCACCTCCTCCTCCTCCTCCCGTGCTGCTGCTGCTTGTCTTCCTCTCTTCCCTCCCGAGGAGGAAAGAAAAAAGTCGACTGGTGTTGAGGAAAATGTCGCTCTGGAGATGTTTTATACTTTAAACTCCTTTAACTCCCAGCTCCCTCCTCCTCTTCCTCCCTCTCTCGGTCTCTCTCTCTCGGTAGCTCTCGCGCACACTCTCTCGCTAAACCTGATAAGTAAAGCTCATCACGTGTTGTCTCCAGTTTCCAAGGGGACGTGGCCACCAAGCATCTCAGTCAGTACGCACAGACACACGGACAGCCGTTACTGGATTACTTATTCCAGCCGTGATGGAGCAGGAAACGATCCCACCTGAGAGCTCCGAAACCAAAAATATAAACTTCAAAAGTCCGCAGAGGCCTGGCGGCGCGCAATTTAACTCGCGTGCGCCGCAGATTTCTGCTTTAATGCGCAAAAATATTCACTTTTAGGCAACTTTCGTTCCCAAAGTATTGACATTTTCACCGAGCGTGTCCTCTCACAGTCAGAAAGTCCCCTCGTTTCCTGCCTCGCTTCAGATTCTCTCAAAGAAACCCGCTTTCACGCCGCTCCTTTATCGTTTACGCGGAGTTTCGGGGGCTAAAAAGATAAGAAACCATCCACTTAAACCCACACACGCTACACGCGCAGCTGCTTCATCTATCGCGAGAGCTCTGCACGCGATTTCAAAGAGGGAGGATGCATAGGGTCAGCCAGAAGCTGGGGAGGTGGCTGTGGAAGACTGTGCCACCGTTTCCAGGGAGGTGTTGGTGAAGTAGTCACTTTGTTTTCGGGGATGAAGCGAAGAAAAGCGCGTGGGGGAGAAACTCAAAAGTTCACATAAAGACGTCAAAGTCGTACTAAATCACGTGCAGGTACCTCTGTGCTCCATCCAGGGCCATGGGGCAGCAGTCATGTGACCCGCGATAGTGGGTGATTAGCTCAACCTCAAATAATCCCATGTTTTATTTTCACCATTGGGTAAAGTTCAACATGTACATGTTTTACTTTGGACAAACCTGGACAGGATTATGTGAAATTACAAACTAAAACATTTTCACTTCACATTAAAGTTCATTTCAAAGAACTCCAATCTACTGAGTCGTACTGATTATGAGTTCAGTGCTTCTTTTTTCTATTTTTTAAGGGTTGTAAACTTAAATCTGATTTCTCTGTGGATGCTGTGTGTCAACTTTCCATGAAAATCTAAAGGATGTGACGTTTATGTGAGCTCCCGAGTGCCTCGAGACCCCACTACATCCTCACACACGAATAACCTGGAGCGAAATAAGCATCAGGCAGCCCAAAACAGGAATAAACGCTGAGGGTACAGAGCTCAACAGGGAGGCTCTGGAAGTGAAATCCTTCAGAAAGTCCTGACATCCGAAGTGTAACCCTAAAATGAAGCCAACTAGCCACGAGGTGAATCATGAACACAAAAAATTAGATTTGGATCAAAAAAGAGTAACAAAAAGAGGCAAAGTTACAAGTCTGTGTACATGACTACTTTTACAGCTGAAGGAACTACTCCCCCCACAATGCAGTGCAACTCTCACGTTCACCTTGGCACTTTTAATCCTCTTCATTATTTGTTGTGTATGTTGTTTGTAGGCTAGTTACCAGTATTGGGCTGACATACTTTTTAAAAGTAGTGCATAATGTTACTTAATGACTTCCTGGAGAAAGTAACCCTTTCCACTACTCGTTACTTTGGTGTGACTCTGTAACATGGCCTGAAATGCATTGCTACAGCTACCAGTATAAACCTGAGGCTCGCTCACACAGACCCCTGTCCTAATGAGGACACACATAAGACGTGTAACTGTCAACACAACACTCACAACATAAAGAAAAAAGAAGGTGTAAACCAGCCCAAAGATACTTTAAAGCCATCACCATGGTGATTTAAGAAAATGAGGAGACCTGAATGTAGTACAGTTACATGTTACATTACTATTACTGAAAAAATGTCATGTAACTTCAGTAATGTGTCATATTAGCTGTGTCCCAAAACATCGGCTGCATCCTTCGGAGGCCGCATTTGAAGGCTGATTACGTCACAGCCAGGCGACGAAGGCTGTCCCAATTCGTCGACTCCTTCAAATGCGTCCTTCATTTCTCCGAATTCAAAGGATGGGTCGGATGTGTCCTTCATGGCCCACCATATCCCAGAATTCATAGCGCGGCCCAGACAATTCTGGTTTCCAACAATGGCGGCAGATGCTTATTTTTATTATTACTCTTATTAATCTTTCTGGGTCACAAAACAAACTTTTAACATGTTTTCAGGCGAGAAAGTAGCTGTGTAAACTTCAAATATCTGCTCAGTTTATCAAGACATCACATATTTGCAAAAGTGCTTCGCCGTTTTCGGAGAAGTCTGTTACCCACCAGCTCGATAGCAAGCCGGGGGGTTCAATGGTCACTCGAGCCAGCGAGAGCAGCGGACTCCCGGCTTCATCGTTTTCAGATCCCCGCTGTCTTTTGTTACTCAGGTTAAACATGATATATAAGTCACTCGGATAACTTAAAAATGTAATTGTTTGGCTTTTTTCGGTGTTTTATTTGTTCCGGAGTAAATCGATTTGGCTGAGATCAAAGTTATTAGATTAGATTAGATTAAATAAAACTTTATTAATCCATCGGGTGGGTTCCTCCGGGGTTTTCACACAGCTGAATAAACGTCAAATAGAAAACTGATTAAACAGAAGTGTGAGACGGTCGAGAGTTTACGGCAGGTCCTGTTATAATTTAGATAGCAAGGAGCAGACGGCTGAGTTTATTAAACTCTACTGAGACAGCGGTGACGCAAATCTGAAGGCTAGACCGTCCCATTTCACAGCCGTTTACTTCCAGCTTTCTCGGTCTTCGAAGGACCCGGCCCACGTAGACCGCGAAGGCCGGGTCCTCCAAAGGATGTGGCCTACGTTTGGGGACACAGCTAGTGATAGCACTGCTAGCTATCATTATAGCACGATGCTTTATTCTTGGCTGTAATCATTGCCTGGGCTGCTTCTAAAGTTTCACGGTCACAAAGCAAACAGAAGTTCAGGGGTTTAAAAGTTTTCATGGCAAGGGTGATTTAGGATTATGGGTAGAGTACTTGTTTTTCACAGTAAAGCATGTTTTATTCAAATAAGCTCAATTTCATACAGATGTGAACTTCAGAGTGTCGTAGCTCATCTTGAATCTACTTTGGATAGTTAAAACTTCATGGCTCATAATTAAAATCCCTGTAGAGAATATCATAGTAGCACTTTTTAATCCTAGAAGCTTACTGTTTCGTGAGGACTCAAACTTAACTTAACTTAAGCTTGCTAGCTGCTACATGGGTTAGCAAGCTGTCCGGTGTAACAGATATGCTAACATTAGCCAGAATAAAGCTAGTTTTATACAAATGCTGAAAAAGGGCCAAAGTTTCTTATTACTGCTAGCTAACACTAGCTTGTCTGCTAACATGGACCAATAACAAGCTATGCAGAACAGCAAAACTAAACACCTGAAACCAAATTCTTTAAATTTGTGTTTACTTTGACTATTACAATGGTTCTGTTATATGCGTTCTACCTTATGAGCTACATGCCATTCTACTTATTAAGGATTTTTGTAGTCTTTAGCTTTAAATCTAACCATGTAAACAAGCTTATTTTTTGAAGATGGAATGAATAAAACTTATCTTATGGCAACATATCTTACCTTAATTAATCCAAACTACTGGGGCTGATGCGGCTAGTAGGTTAGCTTGAGATTTTCGAGCTAATGGACCATTAGTGAGAGATTTATGTAATATAACTTAACAAATGTAGCTAACGAACCATAGCTTCCTTGCTTCCTAATAAAAGTAATGCACATGAATGGAAATGTTATTTGCGGGTATCTGTGTCAGCGTAATATAAACATGCACTTTATGGCTAAAGCTAGCTAACAAAGCTAGCTAGCATTAGCTAATGACTCACAGTCCATTATTTTTCCAAATATGCTCATTCCGGCTCCAAGAAAACAATATACCAACTAGGGCCATTGTAAAATATAAAAATAGTTATAGTGTCACCCACTGACTTCATAAAGTCCCATTTTGAAGGCTTGAGCCATGTTGGTAGGAAAATTCCAGATGTGATGAGGAAGATTAGGTTAATGACTTATGATTGACAATTCATCAGCCAATGAGCTTGCAGTTTCGTGGAAAAAGACAATCATCCATTTGAAAACATGGTATGATTTATATTTATGAAACAGGCTTAGTGATTTATTCAATATAACACAAAGTGAGTGGCTCAGCAAAAAAACAGTGTATTTCCATAAACTTGTAAAGGACTGGAAAGCTTCTTGAAACTACAGCTATGGCCATCTGGAGGCTCTCTGACAGAATGCAGGTTTTTAGGCACTTCCACATTGGTTATGTCCACGATTTACACCGTCTATGGCACCGTCACAAACTCTGAGGCTTCAAAACGTAGCCTCCAAAATCAGTGGTTGACATTATGTTCGATACATACAGTGTGTGGAGCATCGCGCTTCATGCCAAGCTAAAGGTCATAAAACACGAGCGATCTCCGACACTCAGAGTCGAACCATCACAGAGCCTGAACTTTACGAGGCTGAAACTCTCCACTACAGAAACTTGCTCCGCATTTTCAAGGCGGCACTGACCTTTGTGCAAATCACTCCACTGTTAAGGACCTCAGAAAACAATGTACCTCCTCTGGGGTATGTTGGGTGGGGCTGATGGATTAAAGCAGTGGCCCTTAAACTGTTGTGACATGATGGCACTGGAGGTGGGGCAGCGGGACAATAAGTGTAATGAGTATCATTTTCTAAGGAAAGCAAACAAGAGTTTACCTGTGCTATGGGGCTAGCTCTTATTTTGCTAACATCCAGCTTGTCCCATTTTTTTATTTACAGTAATTAATAGAAGACCAAACACTAAGAATGGATCCAAGAACCTTCTTTTCTTTTAAAAGAAAACCCCATAAATGCTGCGTTAGAATAAAGGTCATCAGAGAAAAGTAGAAATTGAAAAGCTTTTTGATATTTCTGGTTTTGCTGGTAGGCTGGGCTCATTTAGTTTCCCTCTCAGGACATCAGGGGGCAGTTTTAGAGCCTCCTCTCAAACATCAACACCAACAGGTTTAAGTTGGACAGAATCTCCTGGACCTCAGCAGATGCTGATTCATCACCTGAACCAGATTCCCAGAGGAAACGAGCATGGCTTTTCCTTTCAGCAGGAGTTTTTCTCCTCACTGCACAGAGCTGCCCACCCTTCCCCCTTCTGGGCTCTGGGTCCGCTCGCTTGTCCACAGGAGAGTGCACACAGGAAAAAGTCCTCGAACTTCTTTTTGAACTCACATTTTCACATGAATCACTTATTCCTGATAAAGTGATTCACCCAGAAACGAGAGTAGGGAAACACCCAAAGTCTTGTCTGTCATCATCATCGGTAGCAGGCTGAACTAGCCCGATACCGTCAGAGAGGCTCTTCTTGCTCGGCTGCAGGGGAGAAAAAGGAGGAGGGGTGTGATGGGAGGAGAGATGGCTGTGTGCTCCTCTCTCCTGCAGGGGATGATGGGAGGAGGAGAAGGAGGGGTCTGTCTGTATCCAGAGATGGAGGGCTGGCAGGAATGCAGCGAGAGAGCGAGCAAGGAGTCGAGCTGCTCGCACTAAATTTA